ATAGAGAGAAAGCTTATATCTTGGGATATATTGTATAGAATAAATATCTATATCTTTGACTTCATAAACTTTATCTGAAATACTGCATCATGTAGTAAAATCGCATATTATATATAATATTATCGTATGTTTTGGGTTATAGCCATGTAATATTGCCATGTATTAAACAGGCCAGGTATGCATGTTATCAAGGAAATTATCACCATTAAGTAACCATCTTTAAGTAATGAATATGACATACAAACTGACATTTTGTAGTTTCTTTCTCTCCAACTGACAAAGGACTAATGACAGTATTTCCTCTATTAAGAACAGGCTGTATTAAAGATCTGAGTGTAGGGGTAGTTTTGTAATAAGAGCCAGGTCTCCAATAAAGTTCCATGTCATCTACAGCAAATAGTTGCCCCTGATTCGAGTCCAATAATCCCCTCTGTGACATGGAGAAACCAGGAACAAGAACCGAAATAGGAACCAGGGCCTTGTTCCTCAAAGCCATCTTAGAGCTACAATGATCGTAAGCCTGTGTTAAAGTATGGGACTTACGATCACCTTAGCGTTAAGATTGCTTTGAGGAACTGGAACAAGGCCTCTGACAAGAGTCAGCATCTGATATGGCTTGTGTTTGAAGTGAACTGAAGTCAGGCCCCGGGCTCTCAATAGAGGAAATACGGTTTCCATAAAGTAAAGAAATTATCATCTAATATTTACAAAGAAAGTGTAAGGTGTATTTGGTCTGAATTCAACACAATTGGCACAAAAGAAAGCATAACACAAGGGAACACTATTTCATTGTGTTCATAATAACATGGTGTTTAATGATCCAAGCAAACATTTCACATATGTGGAAAAGTAGTTCATCCCGGGACCTCTTTGTCCCTCCCAACTAGGTTCCAACAAATTACAGCAATAAAAAAACTCTCAAAGTTTATCAACATGGGTGAATTTATTGTCTCTTTTTTTGCTTACCCATATGACCTTGACCTAATAAAGTTGTTTTTTCAATTTATCTTAATTTTCACCACAGATCCTATAGATAGAAAAACATATCGGTAAACAAAAGCCAGGAAATTATCAAAAACTGACTCCTCATCAAACAAAGCCTCCTCTGATTTGTCTGTATCTGGCAATCCAGCATATTTAAAGTGTACAATTCACTGAGAAAAGCTGAAAATCAGGAGGACTCCCAGGAACATAATAAAACATGTCTACTAAAACCATCTTGTCTACAAAACGGATGTGCTACTATTTGTTGAGAGTCAATAACCAGCAGAATAAACATAACAACACAAGGCAGAGCTGTCATTGAAAGGCGGGATATCGATAGACTACGTTTCTACAGAACTGTAGCAATCCACAAAGAAGAAACCTGCTACTAATACCATTATTACCCACTAAATATTGGCTAAAACCATTATTACCCACTAAATATTGGCTAATACCATTATTACCCACTAAATATTGGCTAAACTTGAGAATTTGGGGTCAACAATGGTTCCACATTGAGTAAGTGAGTGAAAGTTTTATGCCTCTTTTATCAATATTCCAACCATTTTATGGCAGGGGACTCCAGGAATTGGCTTCACACATTGTACCCATGGAGATATTTTGTTTGTTTGTTGTTTAATATAGTGACTGACATCATGAGTATCGATCTACGTAATACGTTTCTTTCCCCGACCATCATCCCGATTTTTGTATTCTGCCCTTGTGAGACAAGTGGTAAACGTTAATGTCATATAGTAATTATGGCTTATTTATAATGTGCCAAATCCACACCCTCAAGCATGCTTAAAGTGCTGCATCATCACCCCGGTCAGTAGATCAGTGTGCACACAGTTTCATTCTCAGCTCCCTGGGGAGATGTAAGGAATGTGATATTTGGGATAACACTTTCTCAGGGAAGTGCAGATTCTCGTACTTTTTAGGGTTGAGTCCCGTCCGGGATTCGAACCCACACTGCCAGAGTGAGGCACACAAAGTCAGCGATCTCACCCACACCCAGGCTTCCACAAACATGAAAGTCCTGCAACTTGTTGTTGAGATCACGCACTTTGTGTACCCCTCTGACAAGTGTCAGAATGTGTGAAATGATCTAATCACAAGCTCATGTTTATCATACTTTGAAAAGTTCTCTGTAATCTTGTTTTGAGCACCACTATTTGACCCATTAGTATATATCATGATATATCACCCCTGAAACGTCCAATCAATGACAGCCCTGCCCCGAGGACAAGTATAAACAAAACAAACAAGGGAGATAACTACATCCAGGACTACAGGAATCAATGAAAACAATAACTAGCAACCTCAATGGCAGGACCAAGACTCACACACCTGCAAAACAACTAATTACCGTATTTAATCTAAAATATACACATGATGTTTTTTTCTGCTTTTATCACTTTTTAAAAGTGAACATAGTTTGATAAGCTTGTTTGAATTATCTTTCATAGGCACGAGAGTGTCAACCACAAAAAGTCAATCCCCAAAATATATTTATAATTAATGGACAAATTGAAATACTGAGCCTTAGATTCTAAATAAAGTTAATAATCTTACACCATCTTAATTTCATATATTTGACAATATTCTAATCATGTAAACAGCAGCAAAATATTCATTTATCATGTCCGTATTAAGAGAAGAATTACGGTAATTATTGACAGCAGCTCTGGAACCTCCCATTGGATGCGTTCCAATCATAGAAATATTGAAGTGTGGAAACATGGTATGAACAAATGAAAGATGTGAACACCTCTGGGAAAAATATGGAAATGTAGACAGCCCTGACTATACAAATATTCATGATCACGTTAAAAAATAATATAATTCTCAAAACGCAAACAGAAAATGGGTTGAATTAGCCCCAGCCCTCTCGTCAGACCTCTGAAGGGAGGTAGGGACTATGAAATGGGTTGAATTAGCCCCAGCCCTCTCGTCACACTCCTGAAGGGAGGTAGGGACTATGAAATGGGTTGAATTAGCCCCAGCCCTCTCGTCACACTCCTGAAGGGAGGTAGGGACTATGAAATGGGTTGAATTAGCCCCAGCCCTCTCGTCACACTCCTGAAGGGAGGTAGGGACTATGAAATGGGTTGAATTAGCCCCAGCCCTCTCGTCAGACCCCTGAAGGGAGGTAGGGACTATGAAATGGGTTGAATTAGCCCCAGCCCTCTCGACACACTCCTGAAGGGAGGTAGGGACTATGAAATGGGTTGAATTAGCCCCAGCCCTCTCGTCAGACTTCTGAAGGGAGGTAGGGACTATGAAATGGGTTGAATTAGCCCCAGCCCTCTCGACACACTCCTGAAGGGAGGTAGGGACTATGAAATGGGTTGAATTAGCCCCAGCCCTCTCGACACACTCCTGAAGGGAGGTAGGGACTATGAAATGGGTTGAATTAGCCCCAGCCCTCTCGACACACTCCTGAAGGGAGGTAGGGACTATGAAATGGGTTGAATTAGCCCCAGCCCTCTCGTCACACTCGTGAAGGGATGTAGGGACTATGAAATGGGTTGAATTAGCCCCAGCCCTCTCTTCACACCCCTGAAGGGAGGTAGGGACTATGAAATGGGTTGAATTAGCCCCAGCCCCCTCGTCAGACTCCTGAAGGGAGGTAGGGACTATGAAATGGGTTGAATTAGCCCCAGCTCTCTCGTCAGACTCCTGAAGGAATGTAGGGACTATGAACTGTAGGGACAGGTGTCAGGGGAATCCAATGTATACAAAGTTATTGCAAGGGAGGGCAGGCATGTTATTGTCTGATTAACACTCTATAGAAATAAATTTCTTATAATGAATCCCATTGAAAGAAACATTTAAAAAATATTACACAATCCAATACCAAAAGCTGTGTAAGACTGAAGCCAGTATAAAATAATGAGAAGTTTGTGTGATTGGGGATGTAAAACCAGATTGAACGCAATAGGCTTAGTACTCTGGCGATGCTACGAAACTGACCTTGGTTGCACTACCGTAAATCATCAAATACGAACCCCTCCTCTTTTGGCGTATATAATTCTCAAGTTATGCAGCTCCATTAAACAATTGTAGCAAGATTAAACCTGATGGTACTTGATATTTTACGAACACTAAGATCCACCCCTATATGAGGCAAGCATCTATTTCGAGGTTTGCATCTATTCAAGGATTCACGGTAGGTCAAATTGTGAAGGATGAAAATGAAATCCCAAACTACTCAACTCTATTTCTTAAAACAGGTACTCAGTGTAAGATGTAAAATAAAACAATAAAATGGCCCATTCACAAGGACAACGTGACCTTGGCAGCTATATTGGGAGTCCATCTTGGCATGCAACAAATCAAGTTCCTTTATTGCATACCCTGGTACAACATCTGGGTTATTCAATATGGTCAGTTGGCCAGTCTTGCTGAAGATTCTAATCAGTAGATGAACTTTTGAAAAAAATCATCTAAAACCATTCCTAAGTACCTGTGCTGAAAAATGTGGGAAAAATCAAATTTAAAAAATCACTTGCACCAGCCTATGATCACAACTTACAAATATACTCTGGAAAAGATATCTCCCTATTGTGATGGTTTCAGAATACCATATTAGACCTGCCTAGACCCTACATCTGAATTCGATATTATCAAGCTCAGATTCACACCCAGGTGAAACTTTCACTCGTTAACTCACCTGGGAATCACCTAAAAAGACAACGCCCACTTCAAGCCCAACTTCCCCATTATTACCTGTTCTAAGAGGTTGCTGACAAAGTCTCGTTTATGACATCGAATCATTGACACACTATGGAGGAAGCAGTGAGACACAAAACATGGCCGGGGCAGCTAAGTTATTGCCAAACCTAAATTAGGACTTAACAAGTCCCCAGCAATTTGTTAAAACCTAAAGCTTTAAATACGGTAAGATCACTCAGCCATGTCTTGTGTTCAGTAGTAGAACGTCAGCAGTATGAGGCAGACACCATTAAACCTTTCTTGTTGCATTAAACAACAGTGACAAGCATTCAATCAACTCTTGTAAACATGTTTATTTACTGGAATAAACTACTCAATCTAGTAAATTGGAAGTCCAGCTTATTATCAGGTATATCATTCTTCTTTCCAGGAGCAGAGGCTCCACCAATCAGCTTTCAGAATCAACTTGAATCCACCAATCAGTGAGTAGATCCCTAACCAACAACCAATCAGAGGTAAGCAATATACTTTTTTCACCAATCAGAACATCTTAGCTTCTTTCCTACAACCAATCAAACATCACACTGTATTTTGTATCAGTAGGGTGTCGAGAACACAAATCTCGTCGACCAATCCTATTTCCTTATTCATTTCCACCAATCACAGTCGAGCTGTGGCAAACTGTTGCTCCAATCAGATTGAAAATCACTTGTGAAGTTTGGTCTGTAGAAGATGACTAACCAAGATTGCCGGGCTGAGTGCGACACAATGCGGATCCTGTCGATGCAGCTGCTGCCGTTACAGCCCGCGTCCTACGTAGGACACAACATGTTAACAGCATGAACGGCTGCTGCACATGGCGTTACGTCCACACAACTCGGCGTTCTGTACAATAAGGCATCCATATTTGGTTTGATTGACTCTTGGACATTCAGTAGACCCAACTGACTGGCACCCATTGTTGCGTTGCACTTACGTCTTCGATCGCCTTCTCTAGTGTTCTTATTGTCTCGTCAATGTCATTATTCACAATCTTGTAATCAAAATAATGTCCGTATGCCTTCTCCAAAAGTTCGCTTTCTCGTGCAAGTCGCTCCAAACTGCCATCCTGAAACAAGAGAATTCTCCACATCTAAGAGCTGACATAGGCTTAGGGCTAACATAAATACTTTCTTACAAACTTCTCAAAATTTCATTTTGGATGAACAATTCGTTACAATTAAGAATTTTAAACCTAAAACTTCTCAATAAATGAGATGAATACTGGAACATATTTAATCTTTGACAATTTGTTCTTTCAAATTGAAATCATGTCAAAAATTTAAATTAAATATGCATCTTAATAACCTCTGACATAATCAATTCAAACCTTCATGGAAGGGTTAATATTGTGTTTTCCTACTCCGTTTCATTACAACTTTTGCCCTATATTTCAGCAGAAATAAAAAAATGTTCAAAATTAAAGTTTTGAAAACAATCTTTGTCAGTTGCGTTAAGACATATAATGTCAAACGTTCACTGTCACTCTAAAATATTACAACAAGCATCTCTACAAAATATAAAGATTTCCCTTAAAAATATAGGAAATGAATTCAGCTAAGAAAGCAAATGTCAGATTGATGAAAACAGACAAGAAAATTCTCATTTTATAAAATAATCTTCAATGAAATAAAGTAAACTGTTTCTAACACAAATTATTTCCATCTCACATCACATTCCGAAGACACATACATGCATCCCCTCATCACCATGGTAACCCGGTACTTTGGTCACAAAAAAGCATTACTTCTTTTTTAACATTTCATTATTGTTTATATTTGAAAATAATCTTTCTTTTAAACAGAACGATGAAATTCAGAATTTGTTTACGTTGAGTAAAGTAACTGATCAATCCTCATCTTTACACATTGTGGAATTGACATAAATGAAAGGATTTCACAATTGGTGCTGAATTTAAAATGCAATCTTTGATTAATTACAATTTTAGAGATGATAAACTAATACATTTGTTTATTAGAATGTACTTAATATACAATTTAGAACTAACTTATACAGTGAATAGCAACGACATAACCCATTCTTGTTTTGGCAGTTTTATAGAACTTCACGAAAATATATTTAATTTTTGACATTCTATTCAAAAGATTCTTTTATACATGTATTACTAAAGTTAATCTCTCATTGCAAGATTCTTTCATTCTACTTTAGTTAATCTGTCATGATAGATTAACTATAGTCAGATGAAAGAATCGGGTGGTCCTTAACTTTTTTAGAGCGGTATATCCTGATTGATCGCTGATTGCTACATGATGGATGGCGCCATGCATGGGCACTGGAAACAGTGACACAGTTAGTGTACAGCATGCCCAGTCAGGACTCACGGTTGATACGGGATATATCTCCTACTGCTGTCTCTCATGCTGTGACAACAAGGATGGCCGACTCTCACAGGACACAACTATCACAGTCATGCATACAATGTTACACAGTGTAGTTATCATGCATACACAATGCATGTTGTCCCACTGGGCGACACCGGGACAAGCTGACATGGAACACAGGCACAAACCACGGCATTACCAAATTTGTCATTTTTTGTAATTTGAATACGGTTGAAGATGAGTTTCACTATATTTTAAAATGTCCATTGTATGATAATACAAGACATGTATATATACTCCACAAATATAGAGAAAATTGTAATTTTGAACAATTTGGTTTTCTTATGATGTATACTAATCATATTAATGTTAAAGATTTGTCCAAATTCTGTAACAGAGCTATTTTGATGTGAAAAAGTTCTTGTTAACGTCACATACACTGTTCTAGTATCCATGACTCAGCCTTACATTAACATTATCTGTGTGGACTATTAGCCTTGAATACAATAAACTGAAGTGAAATATTTCCTCTATCAAGAGCTGGCTTGAATCAGAGCTTAATGTAGGGTAAGGTCCTCAAACAGAAGACGGCTACTAGTAAGTTTTGTTTGTTTGTTGTTTAACGTGCCACACTCAGTAATATTCCAGCCATATGACGGCGGTCGCTTGCCGTAAAAGGCACCTAAGCTGCTCTTAAGAGGTGACTAACAAGATCGGGTGGAAAAGCTCGCTGACTTGGTTGTTGCATGTCATCGTATCCCAATTGCATGGATCGATGCTCATGATGTCAATTACTGGATTGTCTGGTCCAGACTCGATTATTTACAGACCGCCATCATATAGCTGAGTGCAGCGTTAAACAACAAACCAACAAAACATAGGTCATTGTCCTTTTCCAAAAAGTGATCTTAGCGCTAAGATAATCGTAACTCTCATACTGTTGTGCCATGATTGATGCTTTGACTGTTGTCTTAATGACACAACTGTATCAATTATTTCCTGAAGGAGGCTCGACAACACACAGGAAACACTGCATGGGATTATGGGTAGGCTACGGGAAAGATTACCTACAATCACAGAGGAATCATCACAAGGTCAGGGTCATAACTAGTTCCATCAAAACATGTAGCGATCAATCATCTGGAACAAAGTCTGGAATATTTACATTGTCGACTACAACTTTGACTTTGTTTTATCTTGAGGCGAGAGTTTATTTTTTTACAGTGTTTTTTTCCACAAAATTCAAGTCAGTAGGTCGTAAAAATATTTTTAAAATGATTAAAAATATCAAATACATGTATTTTATTTATTTCCTAGAGAAGTTACGTAGGTAAGGAAGTAAAGTGAGGGGAACAGGTTTTTAACATACATTTTCAACAAAGTTTTATCATAGCTAACACAAATAAACTGCTTTTTGTTTATTTATTTTTTCACATTTCAACTTTTGGGAATCAGCAGAAACAAAACATATCCTTTCATTTAAATAGCTTTCCCAATGTTTGAAGTTAAGTTCAGAACAATTAAAGTTAGATGCAACTTCCCAACATTCTGACATGTATGACCCATGACTGATGCTCAGGAGAGAGATGCAGTGGAGTTATCTCCCTTTACTTGTCCCATTCAAATCCCAATCACGAATAATTTAGAAAATGTGCGCGAAAATAAAGACTTAGAAACAGAATCATGAGTCTAGTTGGAGCCCTGACAGCTGGATTCTTTTGAGATCTGACAAATCCTTTCAGAAAACCATGAATATTCACTGTAACATATAGATAGTTTCTCCGATTACAAAATATGTGTTAAATGGTTGTCTCTGAACCATTAAACACAAACAAACACCGCACTTGGTAAACCACTGCTAATTAAAGACCCCACACTCTGAACTTAACACTCCTAATATATCAGACAACCTGTATGGATATTGTACTGATTCCTTGCAGAAACACCATCTATATTTGTATTTGTAAATCAGGTAGATAATCTATATCAGTCACATACTAGCGTCTAACAAATTATTTTGTATTTACTCTAATAAGCAGCACTATCTTTGTGTTTTTGTAGAAAAGGTAGATATCTAAATTGATCCCATACTAAAGTCCAATAACTTATTTCATACTTATGTAAAGAACAACATCATCCATCTGTATTTATGTTTGTTAATATCTGGAAGACAAACAGCATCTACCTATATACTATCTTAAAATAACTTTATTCATAATATGGTATTTTATGTTAGAAACATCTATCAGTATTTATGTTTGAAAATATCTGGTAGACAATTAGTATCTACCTATATACTACCTACCAACAACTTATATTCATAATAGGGTATTATATCTTAGCGTCATTATCTATCTGTATTTATGATTCCAGCGATGCTGCAGACAATCAGTATCTACCTATATACTACCTACCAACAACTTATATTCATAATATGGTATTTTATCTTAGAAACATCATCTATCAGTTTTCATGTTTGAAACTATCTGGTAGACAATCAGTATCCACCTATATACTGCCTACCAACAACTTATATTCATAATAGGGTATTATATCTTAGCGTCATTATCTATCTGTATTTATGATTCCAAAGATGTGGTAGACAATCAGTATCCACCTACTAGCGTCCCACAACTTACATTGACATTTTTCATCTCTTTTAAATCTATGGCCCTTGGCGCAGCAATGAAAACGACAAAAGGCGCATACTCGGCAGTCCTGAGAACCTTCAAGGCCTGAGAATCAGAAGAGATCATGCCAAAATAATGAACCAAACAGCAGAAGAGCTCAACCAAATATTAGTCATATATCACACAGGGAAAACTATCTAAACACATGCTCACATAAACACAAAATGCACCTTAATTGGCAAACATGAGAATGTATTTTACCACAGTTTTAGGTTAAAAAAAGGAGAAATAGGAAAATATTTATTGCAATATAACACATCAACTCAAGTGCTGTGTTCCACAGAAAAATGATCTAGTCCTCACAAGAAGTGTTCAAAGTTGTAAAATTGGAGTAAAAGTCTACAGGATAATACAATTTAGAAACAAGGGCACCTGTTTGCCAATGTCCAATGATTATGAATTGTAGCCCGGTCATAGCGCCAAGGTTTGAACATATATTGTAATTTTCCATTTGCAAAAAATAGCAACACCATGTCAGATATTAATTTCTTTCATATATTGCAAAATTCTTGCATCATTCTCACTAACAGTGCAATTTGTCTATAAATGAACACAGAAATAATAAAGTGAAAATAAAACTAATACAAAATAAACAAGAGTGAACTATGCATAAATATCAACTAAACAAAGACAGTCCCGCAGACACTAAAGACGACGACAGTCCCGCAGTGACTAGGAGGTGGCAGCTGATTGGCTGGAGTACCTGATGTATGGCAGGAAGTGTTGGAGCTGCAATAAAGACTATGAAAGGTGTGTAGTTTCCTGTCCGCAAAACTTTAATGGCCTGAAACAGATCACAATGTACCTGTGAGAGAGTGAGTGAGTGAGTGAGTGAGTGTGGTTTTACGCTGCTTTTATCACGGCAGGGACACAACACCAGACATGGGCTTCACACATTGTACCCGTGTGGGGAATCAAAACCCAGGCCTTTGGCGGGATGAGCGAACGCTTTAACCACTGGGCTACCCCAGCATCCCATTGCGTGAGTGAGTGAGTGAGTATGGTTTTACGCCGCTTTTAGCAATATTCCAGCAATATCACGGCGGGGGACACCAGAAATGGGCTTCATACATTGTACCCATGTCGGGAATCGAAACCCGGTCTTCGGCGTGACGAGTGAATGCTTTAACCACTAGGCTACTCGACCGCCCCGAGTGAGTGAGTGAGTTGAGGTAAAATAGGGTTAAATGTCGCAGTCAAGACTACCATGTAGCAGTTTAACATGACTGCCCCACTCAGACACAGTGTACTGAGCCGACCAGTCCTTGTGCTGGCCCTTCATGCCCAGCAGGGCAACATGTACCATTTTGTAACGTCTTTTGGTACGACACGTCCAGGGATACTTTGAATAGTACTTCACCACAATATGAAAGACTCGAGTGCTTACACAGTTCTGCACAAAATGAACATGCTCATAAAGAACTAATGTTTACAGTGCCAAAGACATATTCCAATGTCTACCACAGTTGTTTCCAAACTTCATCACGGCACTAATACTGACTGTCCCATACAGCGACAAGTTTGTTTAAAACCAAAATGTTGGAAGGTTTTATGACTTGTTTCAACTCCTGTCATAATGGGGTGTGTTAGCAACATAAACTTGTAGATGTAAGAATAACTATAACGTCATGATAGCATTGAGAGTAATTTTACACCTCAAGCAATATTCCAGCCATACTACAGAGGGTTACCAGAAAGTCCTTCACAATTTGTATCCAAGTGGGGAATCCAACTCCGGTATTCGGCGGAAGAGCAGACACCTTAACCACCCCCAACAGCTCCCATACCGCCCCAACAGCTACCATACCGCCCCCAACAGCTATCATACCACCCCCAACAGCTACCATACCGCCCCCAACAGCTCCCATACCGCCCCAACAGCTACCATACCGCCCCCAACAGCTACCATACCGCCCCCAACAGCTACCATAAAGCCCCCAACAGCTACCATACCGCCCCCAACAGCATTGAGTGAATACTCGGCCCAACAACTGCTCACCTGCGGTTCTACGTCTAAGATAGCCATGAGACCTCGTTTGTGAATCTGGCGAATCGTCTCCAGCTTGGTGCCATACATGGCGTCTTCGTGTGTGCCGTATTCCAGATACTGATTGGAAGCAATGTCGGCCACCATCTTCTCGTGAGTTACAAAGTGATAGTTCTTGCCATCTTCTTCGTTTTCCCGAGGGGGGCGGGTTGTATCTGAAGCACAGCAGAGTTAGTCAGTGACCAGGTGTCTACAAGGAAATGATTGAACAGTCTTCCAGCAATGCCACAGTGTGGGGGAACACCACAATTAAACTTCACACAATTGGTTCATGTGGGGAATTGAACCTGGGCCTTCAGCCCGACAAGTGAACACTTTAACCACTCGGCTACCCTTCCTCTGCTTAACAGCAAACATCAATACGCACCGGAAAAGTTAATCATGAACACAATCAATGTTGCACTGTACAAAAAAGATCCGGATATCCTGTAGAAAATAGTGTAATATAATATATTTTACTTACGAGGTATTAGGTAGGCGAACCTATCTCGATGCCTAACGAGGTATTGGGTAGGCGAACCTATCTGAATGCCTAACGAGGTATTGAGTAGGTGAACCTATCTGGCCGACTTACGAGGTATAGTGTAGGTGACTTACGAGGTATTGGGTAGGCGAACCTATCTGGATGCCTAACGAGGTATTGAGTAGGTGAACCTATCTGGCCGACTTACGAGGTATAGTGTAGGTGACTTACGAGGTATTGGGTAGGCGAACCTATCTGGTTGACTTACGAGGTATTGGGTAGGCGAACCTATCTGGTTGACTTACGAGGTATTAGGTAGGCAAACCTATCTGGGTGACTTACAAGGTATTGGGTAGGCGAACCTATCTGGATGCCTAACGAGGTATTGGGTAGGCGAACCTATCTGGATGACTTACGAGGTATTGGGTAGGCGAACCTATCTGGGTGACTTACAAGGTATTGGGTAGGCGAATCTATCTGGATGCCTAACGAGGTATTGGGTAGGCGAACCTATCTGGGTGACTTACGAGGTATTGGGTAGGCGAACCTATCTGGGTGACTTACGATGTATTGGGTAGGCGAACCTATCTGGATGACTTACGAGGTATTGGGTAGGCGAACCTATCTGGATGACTTACGAGGTATTGGGTAGGCGAACCTATCTGGGTGACTTACGAGGTATTGGGTAGGCGAACCTATCTGGATGACTTACGAGGTATTGGGTAGGCGAACCTATCTGGATGACTTACGAGGTATTGGGTAGGCGAACCTATCTGGGTGACTTACGAGGTATTGGGTAGGCGAACCTATCTGGATGACTTGTGATTAGTGTATTCTTTATGTGTCGTCTCCCAACTCCATGAGCACCTGTGAACAACAACATCATTGGAATATTCATCATCATACCTTCTAACACCAGCCCCAATCGTCATGTCTTTAAACAACTCCTTCCACTTTCATATTTATCGTCAGATACTTGCCCAAAAAGTTAGATCACACAAGGAACTTGGTTGAAAATGGGTGGTTCACTAGAGGGTACCATGTTTAGCATATATTTCTTGGCCAGATATATTTTATGAGCGTTTTTTTAGACTGTTGTAAAGCATTTCAAACTAATATTAAACAAATATCAATAAATGTTTCAACAGCAGATAAATCAGATAAATCACTTTTGGTTGAAAATGTAAACCTCAGGGTTGGAATAGCTCCCCCTTCCCTTTGGGTTTAACCTTTGAACCAAAACCTGCGAGGCATGTCTTCTTCTATGAACATACACAGAAGTAGCTCTCGAAATACTACTTTACGTCCACGCACACAGCAAGTATGCATGGGTGTAAGAATCACTTCACTGAGTTTTGGTCAAGTTGTTATCATCTCTTTGTACAGCAGTGAACTTTGCAAACTGTGTTAATTAAAAAAAAATTACATAAAAGAACAACCCTACTACCAGAGATGTGTCTCTGTACATGACCAGGTCAGAGACACTGTTGAAATACATTAGTTATTGGGTGTATCCTGATGGGTAAAACTCTCCTGGGATGAACTACCTAGTAAGACAAGAGTTTTCCTGACGAAGGCCGGAAGCCGCACCACCTCCTCATACGTCACCAGGTCCAGCTGGTCGAACACCGCATTGTGCTTGGCCAGGTACTTGTCCTTCTTCTTCCGACCGAACCACGAGCAGTGGACTGAAAACAATGTGCACATATTGATGTGTTTGTTACAGAGCACAGTGACAATACATTTATCATCAGAAATCAGACTTGGGGAAACAGTGCCTGTCTTTCAATGCTTAGATGAATCATTTCTGTATAGCACAAGATATTACCTGAATGCTCTTTCCAACCTCTATACAACAAGAGGTGCCTACCTGAAGCAGTGCTTACCTGAATGCTCTCTCCTTGCTCTCTCTACATCTAGCAATGCTTACTTGAATGCTCTCTCCTACCTCTCTACAGCAAGCAGTGCTTACCTGAATGCTCTCTCCCACCTCTCTAGAGCAAGCAGTGCTTACCTGAATGCTCTCTCCTACCTCTCTACAGCAAGCAGTGCTTACCTGAATACTGTCTCCTAACCCTCTACAGCAAGCAATGCTTACCTGAATACTCTCTCCTACCTCTCTACAGCAAGCAATGCCTACCTGAATGCTCTCTCCTACCCCTCTACAGCAAGCAGTGCTTACCTGAATGCTCTCTCCTTGCTCTCTACAACAAGCGGTGCCTACCTGAATGCTCTCTCCTTGCTCTCTCTATAGCCAGTGAGGCTGTCCTCCACTCCTGCAGTTCCGGCGATGGAATGAGGCCTGCTGGTTCTGTGGGTGCACTGTCAGCCTTGCGGGCCTGCCACCAGTTGGAGTCGTCCTTGCTTATCACCTGCAGGACACAGTCAACTTAGTCTATGTACAGGATGACCAACTGAAACCATTCACTGATGCACCTCTGTGTTTCATGAAGCAGTCAGTAACATTCAAGCCATATCATGAACCTGTCATGGTGTCCTTCAAATACATCAGCCAGGGCCATGGTGCAAAAAGCCATCGTAGTGCTACGATTGTCATAAGGCCATGTTAAAGTATGGGAGTTACTATCACTTTAGCCCTGGGACAAACAAGTCATCGTAGTGCTACGATTGTCATAAGGCCATGTTAAAGTATGGGAGTTACTATCACTTAAGCCCTGGGACAAACAAGCCATCGTAGTGCTACGATTGTCATAAGGCCATGTTAAAGTATGGGAGTTACTATCACTTTAGACCTGGGACAAACAAGCCATCGTAGTGCTACGATTGTCATCAGGCCATGTTTAAGTAGGGTAGTTACTCTCACTTTAGCCCTGGGACAAACAAGCCATCGTAGTGCTACGATTGTCATAAGGCCATGTTAAAGTAGGGGAGTTACTCTCACTTTAGCCCTGGGACAAACAAGCCATCGTAGTGCTACGATTGTCATAAGGCCATGTTTAAGTAGGGTAGTTACTCTCACTTTAGCCCTGGGACAAACAAGCCATCGTAGTGCTACGATTGTCATAAGGCCATGTTAAAGTATGGGAGTTACTATCACTTTAGCCCTGGGACAAACAAGCCATCATAGTGCTACGATTGTCATAAGGCCATGTTAAAGTAGGGGAGTTACTCTCACTTTAGCCCTGGGACAAACAAGCCATCGTAGTGCTACGATTGTCATAAGGCCAAGTTAAAGTAGGGGAGTTACTCTCACTTTAGCCCTGGGACAAACAAGCCAGGCAAGTGATTGATATTATGAGCATCACATGTTTGTTAAAGTTCCGTGTCTCACCTTCTGATACAAATCTGTCGCATCATACAAGCTATAGTTTTATGCCGCTTTTAGCAATATTCAAGCCATATCTCGCCGGGGGACACCAGAAATGGGCTTCACTGATTGTACCCATGTGGGGAATCTAACCTAGGTCTTCAGTGTGACAAGTGAAAGATTTAACTAGGCTATGGTGCAGACAAACCTAGAATCATAATCAGTGTCAATATTGGATTTGAACTGGTGATCCAAGGTTCCTGGCACGGTTCAGTTAAAAATATTATTTATTAAGTCATCAAAAAGAGATTTCTTTAATATTACACTTGTCAAAAAGAGATTTTGTAAATATCATATTTTGTGTATTCTTACCCGGAGGATATCGCCAACTTTGAATGGAACACCAGCTTGTGAACACGGTATCAGGTCATCATCGCGTGGGTCGTAATCAAACATCGCTCTCACATAGATCTGAAAACACAGGCATCTTATGCAGGAAGTGGTGATAAAGGGGAGATAACTCACATCAAACAGTGCTCTCACCGAGATATGAGAAAACAGTTATCTTCAGCAGGAAGTGGTGATAAAGAGGAGATAACTCACATCATCAAACAGCGCTCACACCGAGATATGAGAAAACAGTTATCTTCGGCAGGAAGTTGTGATCTAGGGGAGATAACTCTTGATACTTACCGGTCCCTGATGCTCCATGGTAACATCTTATCGTTACATAAAGTAAATTCTGATGTTTTATACAGATTACCAAATACATGAAGAATACATGTAATGTCTCACTGATTATAATTAAACAAATTTATTAAATGACATAAAACAAAATTATACCATTGTTCTGTAAATGTGATCAGATCCACATAAAAAGATAAAGCGTTATTTCTGCGAATTGAACTATTATCTCTCAACAAATATAATCAAAACTGACAAAGCTGTTCTCATTACAAAAGTACATCTCTTATCGTAACACATACTGAAGACATTCCTGTGCAAGCAAAGAACAATCACTGAGCCACATGAGTGAGTGAGTGAGGGAGGGAATGACATTTAACAGCTACATCCCAGATGTGGAATCAGTTCTGGGTCATGTCAACCAAATATGGTTTTATTTGTTTAACGCCACACTGACGGGTGGTCTGTAAATAATCGAGTCTGGACCAGACAATCCAGTGATTGACATCATGAGCATCGGTTCACACAATTGCAAGGCCGTAGTTAACTTTTTTTGACAGGGGGGGCAAATAAGATTATTCATTTCTTAATCAAGTTAACTTTCGCAAGGAAAAATGTTTTCTATAAAACATCCAGGGGGGGCAACTGCCCTCTCTGCGCCCCCGGCTGGCTACGGCACTGCAATTGGGATACGATGACATGCAGTCTGACCACCCGATCCCGTTAGTCACCTTTTATAACAAGCATAATCACCTCTAGGCAAGCATGGGTTGCTGAAGACCTATTCTATCCTGGATCTTCATGGGTCTAAACCAATGGTTGACAGAATGAGCAACGACACACACTCCTTGGAACAATGTCACACAATCAGCCAGCTAGGTCACATGTAGCAAAAACCCAGTTTCTATTCTAGTCGACATCCAAATGATGTACTTGTACGTATTCGTGTACTGATGTACGGTAATTACAGACATAAAGCAGTTAAAACTAAGAAATAACGTTTCTTTGAAGTGAAATAATATTTGTGATGTTGATGAGATTGGCATGATGACACAATGACCAGCACTACCAACAGAACACTACACAGGTCAGCTTGACCCAGCTCACAGTTGCTACAGACCCACACAATACCACACTTCAACACTGAATGCAGCCATGGACAATACACTGTACTGTTTGTTTGTTGTTTAACGCTGCACTCAGAAATATTCCAGCTATATGACAGCGGTCTGTAAATAATCGAGTCTGGACCAGACAATCCAGTGATTGACATCATGAGCATCAATGTAGGCTATTGGGATACTAATACATGCATCAACAAAGCCAGCAAGTCTGACCCCCCGATCCTGTTGGTCGCCTCTTACGACAAGCATAGTCGCCTTTTATGGCAAGCATGGGTTGCTGAAGACCTTTTCTACGCAGGATATTCATGGGTCACACTGCGCTGCATATAGGGATATCTAACATGACCGTTATACACTGCATATTGGTATATCTAACATGACCGTTATACAATGTTTATGATATCGGTATATCTAACATGACCGTTATACACTGCATATCGGTATATCTAACATGACCGTTATACACTGCACATCGGTATATCTAACATGACCGTTATTTGCCGTACTGCATACAGCTATATACAATGTGACAGAGTGACAGTTACACAGCCGTTTATACAGTATGCCAATGTTATAACCATATACTGAAAGACATTATTTAGCCTGCTTTGCTTGAGTTGAGTACAACTTAATATCAATGTAGGAGAAGTGTATTAAATAAGTTTAATGGACCAAAGAGTGTATACTTTGAACAGACCTGTTATTCCCCATGTGCACAAAACCAATGGCTTGTTAGTTTGTTAGTGGAGTTAGTGGTGGGAAACAATGGTACCCAACACACTGTGCGGTATAAATGTTTATAACACATTGTGTTGGGATAGTAGGACCAGGCACACTCCCTGACTTGCTTACATGTGGGTGGTGAGTGTTGTTTTATCTAAATGTATTCATTCAAGAGATGACATTGACTAACAACGTGCAAGCACCTAGTTACATCTTTCCGTATTGTTTGTTTGTTGTTTAACACTGCACTCAGAAATATTCCAGCTATATGACGGTGGTCTGTAAATAAGCGAGTCTGGACCAGACAATCCAGTGACTGACATCATGAGCATCAATCTCAATTCTCTACTCAGATCTTCATGGGTCTCTTTCCGTATCAAAAACATCTGTAACACTCCTTGGAGGCGGTTCACTGAGGCAGTGATAGTCCCTCCGTCATAATGTTTACCTTATCGCGTCATTTCTGAATAAACATTCTCAACCCGATACCTTTATGAAAAAAAACAAAGAAGACAAATTGAAGAGATTGAAATGTAAAAAAACCCAACCCTCATCAAAGAATGAAAACAAAATAAACACCACCACTACGGAAAGACCAATGTGAAAGTGTGTGCTGAACTTGTATATGCTGATGGGGGAGTATTATATGTAGTCAGGGAAGTAGCATATACTATAGGGAATGTGGAAATGGGTAAATGCTCAAAATAATTCCAAAAATGATTGTTTTTTGCACATAGAAAATCATTAATAAATTTTTTTGGAAAAGATTTAAAAGTATAAGATAGAAATTAGTGATAATGATGATAGTGGAATTGCTCAAATAAAACACATATTATTTGCATCCAAAAGTTCATAAAAAAATTGCCATTCAGAAAAAATTAAATGTCAATTTTGAAATGTTTAGCTGATGATAAATAGGTTATAATTTTATTTCATAATGTAATTAAGGCTGGTTTCAGCAGGCCTGTGCAATGGATTTGGGATGTCTGCATCAAAAGGGTGGTGTGTGCAAGTTGGAGTATATTGTTTTTGCCACAATTGCCACATACGGACATACAAACGACTAAGTATGAGGCTACACGACACTGTATGCCACGACAGCCATATTGGGTGCAATGCATGCTGGGATAGGGGTTACCTCACACTGGGCAGGGTTTATTCGATAACTAGGCACAATCTTCAACGTTATACTGCCGCGAGCTTCCTTCTGCAATAACAAAATGCATGAGTTGAGAACAGAGTACATTTAATGTGTGGGGTCACCAAATACCTACCTCAATTCCAGACTCTACTTTCTGAGCTCCACCAACAGATGGCACCACTTTAAATGTAACAGAGCCTCGCAAGTTTCGCTAAAAATACACCAGGAGACAGATCGTGATATAAAAATCCTAGCAATCATAAAGAGTCTCTTTGCGTGGCACCATAAAGAATCTCGTTGCGTGGTATAATTAAGATGTTCTTTGAATTGCTACATAAAGAGGCACTTTGCATGGAATAAATAAGGAGTTTTTTTAGTTGCACCATAAAGCCGCTTTTTCATTGGCACCATAAAGAGTCTCTTTGCGTGGCAACATAAAGAATCTTGTTGCATGGTATAATTAAGATGTTCTTTGAATTGCAACATAAAGAGGCTTTTGCGTGGAATAAATAAGGAGTTCTTTCATTGGCACCATATAGAGTCTCTTTGCCTGGCACCATAAAGAATCTTGTTGCGTGGTATAATGATGTTCTTTGAATGGTATTATTGAGAGGATATTTTAGTGGCACTATAATGAGGCAATTTGAGCAGTATAACTAAGATGCTCTTTGAGTGGTATAATTAAGATGTTGTTTGAATGGTATTATAGAGAGGGTATTTTAGTGGCACTATAATGAGGCAATTTGGGTGGTATAACTAAGATGCTCTTTGAGTGGTATAATTAAGATGTTCTTTGAATGGTATTATTGAGAGGATATTTTAGTGGCACTATAATGAGGCAATTTGAGTGGTATTATAGAGAAGGTATTTAAGTTGTATTACTAGGTATGCTAAGAGACTCATGCTAAAAGGCTTGTTGACTGGCACCAGAAAGAGGCTCTCTGAATGGTATTCTAAAGAAGCTATTGAGTGCCTCTGTAAAGCTACTTTGCCACTTAAGGATTAAATTAAACAAAAGGTGATCGTTTAGCAAGTGTTTAAGCCTCACTCCATAGTTTTATTACATATTGATACTTCCATTTCTATTAAACAAAAGCTGTCTGAAATAAAAATCAACATACCAGATGTTTTTGCTACAACCACATGCTTCCTGCACACCACTTTCACAGTGATATGATGACTCAGCAACAGGCAAACATTCTGTATTCAATATGGCCGCCAAGGTGGCCATGTTGAAATTCAGATAAGACATTTGTGAGCACTGCTAGGATCATATATGCAAGTTGAGCATTTCTGAGCATTCGAAAGCTTACAATTTGGAAGGACGGACGACAGATAACGCACGATAACATAATCTCACTCTAACATTCAGTTCAGGTGGGCAAGTTAACAATAGCCTCATGAAGCGATGTACCAATGGATGATGAACACCCCCACAAAGAGTCCCCAGTCCCTGATGACAGCAACACATTTGCCTTGTTTACCAGGCTGACAGTTTGCTTGTAAGATGTCAGTGCACATTACTCTTAAATCCTCAACAACAACAGACAAGTGACACTTTCAGAGGAACCTTCAACGTTCCAGACCCTGAATGTCAACTATGGATGATTTGTAGATACATATACATCATGATGTAAGAGATATGCCTTTACTTCATGGAAAACACATGGCTCACAGGATCATTTAAAAAAGGAGAAATATTACATGCAAATGGGATACATTCAATGGATGCGATCTGCTCCTCAATACAAAATAGAATATGACAGACGATGACTAATGCCGATCAACATTATTGAAAATCAAATTACTTTCTCTGTTCAGGATGATGTAAACATACATCAAAGTTTTATTCTCCTAAAAAAAACAAATTCATATAACTAGGGAACATAATATAAAAATATAATCAATATTTCTCATTTGAGAAATTGCCTGTGAAATATGGCCGTGGTTTGCAGCGACCACTGTAATACCTCCTTCGCTACACTGCCTGCCATTGGCCGAGGACAAAGGATTTCAAGATTTCCCAGAAGAGCTTGGTCTGAGCACTGGTATGGCTCCAGAAACTATTGACCTAACTTCCGCAGGGCAGAAGGCTCCGAACAAATGAATTCCCTTCTGACCTTGTTTAAAACTCAAATTGTATCGATTTATTACTTCAAAATAGGGAGTATCCATCTGGTTGCCAGGCGACGGTTTTTAATGATGATCTAAAAATGATGAGTAATTCATAGTAAATTATCATCATTTTGAAGACAAACCTTTGATTAGAGATGAAAAGATCACAAAACAGGTTAGTTTAATCTTAAATTGAAGATCCATTTTGATCATTGCAACATGAAGACAACCAGGGAACAGCCATTAGCTGATCTGATTTGAAAATCCTTGAAAGACGGTTTTCATTTCTTTATTTGGAAAGACATCAAAGAAAGAACAGGCCATCAAACATAAATCATGAAGTCAACGATCAAAACATACGGGACTCGTGGTTCAGATTAATGAGAAACGGCATTTCTATAACCTGAAGCAGTTTAAATCTATTGACATCAAAAGGTTTTGATTTCAAACATTAGCTGAAGTTGAACCTAGTAGCAAGTATCGGCAGTTGGTTAAATTAAACATGCATATAAAAATATACTTAAAAAACAGATTTAGGGATCAGGACTAGTTTGGGGATATTTTTATAAAATTGGGTGCCCAATCGTCACATATTCATGATCCCTGATTTTTTTGTTCAATATATTAAAGACTTTACAATTATTTTCAATAACCTTAATAATATGAATATCTTCAGCAACAATACACCACCAAAGTGATGTTTGTCCAGTTCAATAACATCCTCAAAGAGAATTAAGACAATCAGAAGGAAACAGAAATTATTACCCAAGTCTGTTTCCATATCATAAACATCCTACATTAGGTAAAGAATTATCAAGTAGGTTTTGATGGGCATAAAATAGGTGTCATATTTCTAATTCATGATATTTATGACATGGACACAGATGAGGAACATTTATTGGATCATTTACAGGCTTACTATCTTGTTTTTTTGTTTGTTGTTCAATGCTGCATTCAGCAAATATTCCAGCTATATGACAGCGGGCTGAAAATAATCGAGTCTGGAACAGACAATCCAGTGATTGACATCATGAGCATCGATCCACGCAATACGATATGATGACATGCATCAGCCAAGTCAGAGAGCCTGACCACCCAATCATGTTAGTCACCTTTACAGCAAACATGGGTTGCTGAAGACCTATTCTACCCCGGATCTTCACGGGTCGGCATATAATATCTGACATATATTATGGTGATAAAGTATGGTATATAGTTTATATCTACCAGCATGCGTTGCAGGGTTTCCACGGGTTGGTTCTGGACACTGACGTTGTTGATTTCCTTGATTTCATCGCTGACGTGAAGCGTGCCTAAAACATATACACAAGGTACGAGTGAGTGAGTGGATTTACGCCACTTTTAGCAATACTCCAGCAAGAAATAGGCTCCACATACTGTACACATGTGCAGAATCGAACCAGGGCCTTTTGTCGTGACAATCAAACACTTTAACAACTCGGCTACCCAACGATCTCCAGATGGAGCAGTATTGGTCAAAACAGTATCTGTGTATACGCAATGATACATGTTGACAGCAGTTAGGTCTTCTTGCCAGTGGATATAACCACTTACTGTAACGGGGACATGAAGGGGAAGTAACTCTAAATAAGTACTACTTAAAATATTCACTTATAAAAAGAAATTGCCACTTAGATGTAAAAAAATGACACCCATGAACACTGTGAATAATTATCTTAAATGAATGATGGCTTCAGTGAACGAAAAGAAAGAATCCGCACAGTGACAGTTAGTGCCCTGCTTCTCTTCATATACCGACCTTTTGTCATCACCAAATATAATAGATGTTATCAAAACTGCTATTTAATTTCATATTTACAAAATTGTGGTAATTTAATTCAGTCAGGCAGTTAATCATATCAAATGTTACAGATGTGAACCTGGCCAATTTACAAACTCAATAAAATTTCACCATGATTAGATCAGTGTGATAGACCTGGAATAACATTATTTCATATCACCATGGGTATTGCAATGTATAACAATGTTTCATACCACGTCAAACTGAGAACCAGGAAGAGAAGCATATGGTCTCTATTGTATCTCTACCAATTGAAAGCCTGCATCAGAAACAGGTGGAGATAACTCTCTCTGCCTTGGGATCACCAAGGGAGATAACTTACCTTGGGCCAAGAAAGGGAGACAACTCACCTTGCCTATGGATCATTCCACCATGCATAATTCTGGCAACAAAACATCTTCCTTCCTCGTTGACCTTCAATGTTATACCCTGAAAGATAAAAATGAAAAATTAACTTTTAACGCATTAACACTTTAACGCAATCCAGCAAAGAATGGCTCTAAGTTTCCAAGCAAGTTTTAACAGCAGGGATTTATCTCGGACCAAACCTTTAAGTTTTAGTTCACATGTTACTTAGTTCACTTGTTATTTAGTTCACTTGTTATATTGTTCACTTGTTATTTAGTTCAATAGTTGAGACCCGTGAAGATCAGGGGTAGAATAGATCTTCAGCAACCCATGCTTGCCGTAAGAGCCGACTAACGGGATTGGGTGGTCAGACTCGCTGACTTGGTTGATGCATGTCATCGAATCCCAATTGCTTGGAACGACACTCATGATGTCAATCATTGGCATGTCTGGTCCAGACTTGATTATTTACAGACCCCCTTCATATAGCTGTAATATTGCTGAGTGTGGCGTTAAATACAAACATCTAGTTCAATTGTTATTTTTGAAAAGTTTTGTTTTCTTAATTTTAGAGGTAACTTACCATTGTATTTACTAGCATGACAGATTAACTATAATCAAATGAAAAGTCATTAACTTCTTTTGAGTAGTATATATTAACACTAATGGAGAATTTTTTCATTTGATATTTTTCCTGACATTTGCTGCAGGCTTGGAGTCGACTATCAGCCTGTGTGGAGGTCAAAATATCCCCACAGAAAGACGGACATGAGGTACTGATGACACTTCTATCTGGCGCACAGTTGAATGTCGGCACATTGAGAATCTCACCCAAGTGTCTTTTGATATCAAATATATCAACACAAGTTGATAAAAGTGGAAAAACTCCGAGGTTTGCGAGTAGTTTTTACCACTTTTATCAACAAGTGTTGATATATTTGATATCAAAAGACATGAGGGATCAATTTTCTTTATCATCCAACATCCTTCTTCGAACTTTTTCAGTTTGTAGACAGTAATAAGCAGTGTCTTGAGTTTAAAAATTACTGCTAACAGCTTCAGTAGCAGAGCCATTAGTGATGTTATTTGATTGTGACGTCATGGTAACTAATGACGTCAGAATGGTCTGCAAAGCATTGTGGTGCAATTTCTACAATGTAGATATCGCTTGATCTCACCCTAGAGATATCTCCTGTGGGACCAAGTTTTGGATGATAAATCAAGTTAATCATGACCTACTCCAATTCAACCCCTTGGGAAATAAGGTAAACACATTAAATGAGTCTACTTACGTATAAAATAGCAAATAAAAATAGTATGTCTCCTTTTTAAACCCATTTCCACAATTACAGCAACTGGTTTTAGAGATATTTCCATGACCTATCAGAATGTGCATTTAAGTAAAATATAACCGTAATAACTTCAATAACTTTGGCTCTTCTATGTCAATCCCAATGAAACTCAAAATAGCAATGTTGCTATACTTTTAGACGAGTCTGCATCCCAGGAGAGGAAGTGATCGCAGCGAGTCTATATAATCAGGTAATATCTCCCCACAAATAGATTTATCTCCATCAACAAGTTAATAGCTTGTGTATTCATGAAGACCCCAGCTGGTGGACTGTGCAGACAATATAAGTTACAACATGCCGGGATGGGCGATACGTGTCTATATTCTCCTACTCACAGCACTATATTACATTCTTGTATACAGCATCTGGAAATAACTATCTTGTGACACAGCTGTGGGGCATAAAAGCCTTTCTCACTATATGAACCATCTATTGATCTGATGGTTACTTTAGTGGAACGAGGATATGTGTTTCTCTGCTTGTACTAGTCTGGGCTCAAGCCCGTTTTGTAGTGCTAGCCCATTGAGATACCATGCCGCAGTTTAACTTGAATACCCCACTCAGACACAGTATACTGACTGAGCCGACCAGTCCTTGTTTTAGCCCCTTAATGCAGAGCCAGGCAGGGTAACAACAAGTACCATCTTTTAACATCTTTTGGTATGATGTGGACGAGGATTGAACCACCAACTTTCCACTCTTTGTAGACACTCTATCAACTAGACCATGGAGGAGGTCTACTGACCTTGATAGTTGAGTTCTATTGTCAATTTGTACAGTTATATTTGTTGAAGAGAAATATACTATTTTCTTAAGGCATTGGAGAGTTCTGTTCAGTATTTGTTTAAAAACGAGAAAAAACTCAGATCACAAATACATAGATATGTAAGTTAATACGTGCAAACATGCAGGTAGCATTATTTGTAAGGGACATATATATCTAAAGGGGTAAAATACTGAGAGTGGTGGTTTTCTGAGTTCGCCACACCACGGAATTTACGATCTTTCAAATCTGTTTTTTTTCCCACCAAATAGTATTACAATAAGCGCCCCCTATTTCTAATTTTGAGAGCGCCCTGGGCACTTATTACGTCGAATACGGTATTGTCTCAAGGAATATTTAGAATATGTTAAAAAAACGTTGATTTCTTCAAACTATTAATATAATAATCTCCCTTTGGAAAAATAGAAAACAACAACAATAAACACCTTAATCACGACTGCTTGATCAATTTTGAACCATAAGCAGCCGAATATCAATAAGTTGAGACTCTATCCACAACAAGTTCATCATTTGTAACAAAGTCTCATCCAGAATCTGATTACCTAGTCATAATTTTATTTGGCGAACTCGTCCAAAAGTAGCGAAAGCCAATAGAGATGCATATCTGCTCCGACTCTCCGATCACAATGACGGCCTAATTTGTCTTGTATGGCCTGCATTATGACCCTGTCCGACTCCAAAGTGCTGACCATTATTGGCGCCAATGTCCTACCAAAACTTGGAATTGTAGCTTGGAGCAAGGACTCAGACAATTATTAGATTTATCCATCATCAGATATTCTCCTAATTACCCTACAAATGACAATATTCCTGGCAGGAGAATAAGCTCGTCAATACTGAGTCATCAAAGGACCAATTCCGTGCTCTACAAGAACCTTCATTATGTGTTCAGATTTCCTCCTTATTAAGAATACTTCCTAGCATCCCTCTGGCCAGAAACAAGTTCAATACAATTGCCATACTAAATGAATCAGTTTGAAATTTGATGTTTTGCAATGTTATTAAGACCCATCACACAGTAATTAATCCCCTCTAAGGGATGGTTCCAGTTCTTTAAGTCCACTTCACATGTTCGTACCAAATCATTCAAAATTAATATGAATACTTTTTGGCAGTTGAAATGTGCTTATTATTGATTGAATCCTTTTCTGTAGTTATTTTAACTGTAAATATTCTATCAGGCTTTCACAAAGTGATTGAAGTGATTTTCTTAATAATTGGCAGCTTGCCATTACATGTCAATTAAAGTACCAGTAAACTTGCAAGGTCAGCTAAAATCAGCTTGTTAGACAACAGTGATGGGTGTTTTGAGTTGGTCTCTATTCATAGCAGTATTGTATCTGTCTCAAGGGCTAAGGCAAGATGAATGGGTTCGCGTCATGCACATATGTGGAATCAAACCAAGGCTTCTATCCTGACAAGCAAACACCTCAACAAATAATCCCCAGACACCAATTCCTGTTTGATGAAGACACAATCTTGCAGTCTCTTGACATTATATAAGTGAGGTGAGGTGAATGGCTTTTAACGTCACATCCAAGATTATTGCACAAGATATAGCGACGTGCATGTCGCTGCCTGTACTAATCCTGACTAATGCTGATTATTTAGTGCTAGCCCACTGAGATACCATGCCGCAGTTTAACATGAATACCCCACTCACACACAGTACACTGACTCCAAACCGACCAGTCCTTGTTTCAGCCACGTAATGCCGAACGCCAGACAGGGTAACAAAAAGTACCATCTTTTAACGTCTATTGGTATGAGGCGGCCGGGGATTGGTCCCAGGCCGTCTGCTCTCGGGAAAGAGAGACTACAACTAGACCATGAGGGCGGTGACATTTATAAAAGTATGAGTTTGGATAAACACATCTTGTAACAGTTGAGATAGGTTTTTGTGTGAGTGAGTGAATGGATGGGTTTTGGGTGAGTGAGTTTGGGTTCTTGTGGGGGTGAGTGAGTGAGGATGGCAGAGTGGATTGGTGAATGTTGGGTGAGTGAGTAAGTTTGGGTTGTGGGGTGAATGAGTCGTTGAAGTTTTTTCTGTCGGCAAGTCACTGAAAGGAGTGAGTGAGTGAGTGAGTGAGTTGCTACCAAGGTAAGCTCATCTTCTCCCAGCCCCAATGATGGATGCTGATGTTGACACAACACGACCCATCACCATGGCCACCCTTCTCACATATTTACTACACCACTAAGCGCATTTACGTCAGTGAAGTAAATCAGTTTACGGATCCCAGTTTATGAGAATCACGACAAGAAACAGTGGTTAAGTCTCGGTCAAGTCTGATCCCGAAGGCCACAGCAGCACGCAATACACGCCTCATCCACAGACAGGATTAACAGGTTAGTACTCCACGCATGTAACGGACAACTTTCTCTCCAATTCATTGGAACTAGCAATCAATTATTCTTCCTTACAACTGAAGACATCCGGTGATGCTCGACATCAAAAAGAAGTTTCAGTTATAATGGAGATAATAAGAGGGTAAACCAGGAATATTCCACATTTATCGGATCAATAAACATATTAATGTTTTTTAGACTAAATTACTTTTATAAGAACTAACATAGTAGACAATGAGCAGATCAAACAAATAGGGTTTGATGTTCATTCTCAGCAACCACCTCTGACAAATACATCGTTAAAATGTCAGAATAATATTTCTGCACTCACATACAGATGTTGTCCATGAACAGCCCTACTTTATCTTAATCATACCCCAATTTTCCATACCAAGGCAGGTTTTTAATCAATAAAATTGGCTTTGAATACATGTGCATGAAAATTTACGTCACGCTCAGTCATTGTAAGAGTGAGTTTGGGTTAACACCAATTTGAAAAATATTTGTCAGTGATATCAGTAGTGTCAGCTTGATGTGATAGAACAGCCTGCTGAACACAATGTATTCTGTTTCCAGAGTTCCACAGAGAGAGAGAGAGAGAGAGGGAGAGAGAGAAAGAGAGAGAGAGAGAAAGTGAGAGAGAAAGAGGGAGAAAGTGAGAGAGAGAGAGAGAGGGAGAGAGAGAGAGAAAGAGAGAGAGAGAGAAAGAGAGAGAAAGAGAGAGAGGGAAAGAGAGAAAGAAAGAGAGAAAGAAAGAGAAAGAGGGAGGGAGGGAAAGAGAGAGAGAGGGAAAGAGAGAGAAAGGGAGAAAGAAAGAGAGAGAAAGAAAGAGAGAGAGGGAAAGAAAGAGAGACAGAGTATACCATGCATGCGTGTGTGTGTGCGTGAGTGAGTGTCATCATACACCATATCAGGTAGTATATCCCAAACTATCAAAAGGCACCAGTTCACCACTAGACCTATCTATGTGCCAAGTTTGGTTAAGATATCTCTCATGGTTTTTTAGTCCTGCTCCGGAAACGAAACGTGATGGACGGACAGAGGGAAGGACGGAAGGACAGCACTCATTCCTATATCCCCCTTCCACTTCATGGCGGGGTATAATAATCTTCTCCTACACTTGTGATGCAATGGCTGACCAGGTGGTGGAAGTCTCACACTGTACAACACTAACAGCCATGCAATACAATCAGTCAGCACATTTAACTCTTCATGGCGGGGTATAACAATCTTCTCCTACACTTGTGATGCAATGGCTGACCAGGTGGTGGAAGTCTCACACTGTACAACACTAATAGCCATGCAATTACAATCAGTCAGCACTTTCAACTCTTCATGGCGGGGTATAATAATAATCTCCTACACTTGAGATGCAATGGCTGACCAGGTGGTGGAAGTCTCACACTGTACAACACTAATAGCCATGCAATTACAATCAGTCAGCACATTTAACTCTTTCAACACCACTTAACCAGAAGCTTTTACTGCTGTGACACCGAGTTCCCAGAGACTCTTGTGTGATAGATTTATCTGATAGGAATTATCTGCTTGTAAAACATTTGAAAGGTCTCATCCTACTGTTTATAAATATGAAAGATATATTTATCACATTATTTAAATAATGCATTTACAGTACAGCTTAATCAAGTTTGTTTTAAATAAAAAGTGTAGGCTAACACGGGATACCGGGGACCTATTCTGCCCCGGAATATCTACGGGTACAAAGATGGCTTACTCTGCCCTGGAACTTCTATAGGGACATTGACATAGTAGTTGAGACCTGTAGATCTTAGGGCTAACATGATCGTAACTCCCATACTTTAACATAGGCTTACGATAGTCTTAGCGCTAAGACAGCTTTGTGCAAGCGGGCCCTGCTCTACTGTAGAATCTCTATGGGGACAAGCATGGGGGTCTGGGGACAAGCTATGAGGTCCTGTCGTACCCCTATGCTGAACAGTGAAGAGAAAGGACATACCATTGGCTCATCCGTATTTTTCTGAAACTGCACGAGGCGGACGCGTGTCAAGTTGTCCATGTCGATGCTGTTCTCTGTAAGCTCAGGCTCTGTGTCTCCGTTCAGGTATGGCGGCTGTGGCGGCGGTGTAGCCCGCACAGCATCCTCACTGTACACTTCATGGGCTACAACATCATGTGCTTGTAGGAGGGCCTGAAATGAAACACAGCACTCTGTATTCAGACATCAGTTTCCATGGCAACATTCTGTGAAATAATTAGTTTAAGCACATAAATAGTGATAAATTGTCCAAATCTTCCCACAGATGAAAGAAAGAAGACACTGTAGTGAAAATTCATGGAAAATGTTCATGATGCAGTCTTGTTCACAGATTGATGCGTCCTCAGTCCAGGAATCCATGAAGTTCCGTAAAAAAAAATGCAGACCACTTGATGCACTTTTAAGAACAATGTGTTTTTTATCGAGAAATCCCAAGTTTAAGAAGATTCAAACAAAATGATATAATGTCCTCCAAATCATTCAGTGAACCTGAAAATATGAAAAGGGGGGCAATAAAATCACAAAAGTATTACATAGCTGCTGCAAAATGAAGAAACTACTCCCCACAAACCTAGCTACAAGTGTGTGTCTCCTGGCAGACAGACACACAACCTTCCCTCGCTCATCTCAAATTGCTAACAAGCTTACAGTCTGATCAACCCTGATACTAAGGTTGGGACACGAATAATTGATTTTAGCTGATAGAGCATGGACCATTTAATCAGGAAAATACCCATAGTTCCCCTCAATACCTCAATCTAGCACTTCTGTCGACATGGGAAGTTGGGAAATGTCGTCTGCAGATTGGTGCATTCACAGTGGTATTGATGCTGCGTGCTACTTCCCTAAGAGCTAGTTGACACTCCTGTGTAAATATCGCACATTAATCATTGATTTCTGCATGAAATGTTTGACATTTGTTTCAGCAAAAGCGATTACCAGCAAATATAATGTACTACTGCACGATGACTTGGCCCACTGTAATCAGTTGCTAAGGAAATGTAATACATCATTCAGCAGTAGTCTTCAGGTAAAGGGTATGAACATTGTGTTATGCTGTTTGTTGAGGATTAAGGGACCCGTTCAAAAGAAATTATTCCTTCAAGTTTTCACTACCTCCTTTTAGAGACCGGTTACTATACATAGTTATAGTTAATATAGTTTATATATATATACTATATATAGTTTAGTTACTGTATAAAAAATAGAAATCAGATTCTTTTTGGAAATCAAACTTTTGAACTGGTCCCTAAGATAAAACAGTAGCAAGGAAGCACTATCAGACAGCAGTCAGTACAGGGATGTGAAGGGTTAATGTTACCAGATGTTTTGATTTATAGCAAGTCAGTGAGTTGGGTTTAATGCCGCTTTTAACAGTATTCCAGTTATATCATGGCGCGTAAGCTTAATGTGGGAGGAAAGCCCGAAGTGATGAAGGTCTCAGGCGTTTACCACTTTGGTGAAACCCACGAGCACGGGTATGGTGCTGACAAACTTAGAAACATAATCGGGGCGAACCGAAATTCGAACCCACGATCATAGGTTTCTGGCGTGCCCAAGCGAAGCAACTCTGCACAGCAAGGACTGGGCCACCCGTGCCTCCTTTTGATTTATAAGTGTTTCTTTCAGATGTTTATTAGCATGAAACCAACAGCTCACTCAAACACAGGTAAGGACATAATCACTGACTGTAATATATTCTTGACATGCATGTTTCAAACAAAGCTTTCAACATTTCCACAGTTTTATGTTTGTTTGTTTGTTTGTTGTTTAAAGCCGCACTCTGCAATACTGTAAATAATCGAGTCCTGGCCAGACAATCCAGTGATTGAGATCATGAGCATTGTCCACGCAACTGAGATATGATGACATGCATCAATCAAGTCAGCGGAGCCTGACCACCCGATCGTGTTGGTCGCCTCTTACGGCAAGCATAGTCGCCTTTTATGGCAAGCATGGGTTGCTGAAGACCTATTCTACCCCGGATCTTCAAGGGGGACAAGCATTGGTTGCTGAAGACCTATTCTACCCCTGATCTTCACGGGGGACAAGCATGGGTTGCTGAAGACCTATTCTATCCCGGATGTTCACGGGGGACAAGCATGGGATGCTGAAGACCTATTCTACCTGGATCTTCACGGGGGACAAGCATGGGCTGCTGAAGACCTAGTCTACTTGTCCTAAACCAAGGAAAACAGTCATGATGCTGTCAAGACTTGAAACACAATCGGAAACTGGGATTTGAACCACAATCACTGGTCTCGGGCAAGCCCAAGGGACACAACTCTGCACAACGAGTTCTGGTGCATGAGACGACTGGGCCATCGTGTCCTTGGGCGTTCTGTTGTTACCCTGTCTGGCCCTCGTCCTTAAGGGGCTAAAACAAGGACTGGTCGGCTGAGAGTCAGTATACTGTGTCTGAGTGGGGTATTCATGTTAAACTGCAACATGGCCTCTCCGTGGGCTAACGCTATAAAAACGACATTAGTCTGCACAGACAAAGACACAGACACAAACAAGTAATAAAATAAGTGCAATAATCTTGACCCTAAGGACCAGAGACATGCTTCTACTATTGCTGACTACAGCAAAATTCAAGATTCTTGAAGCAAAGTATAGTATGCTCTACACCCTTTTTATATTCCTTTGAACTGTGTTGTGGGGTTTGCCATGTGTTGGACCCACAAAGAATAATGAATGGACACGGCAGTCTTGCCCCATAATTATCTGTTCGGCCATCTTGCTATCGAGAACTGATTACAAGCCTGGTTGTCTGGGACAACGAAAGCCCTTCATTTGTACTAAAGAGGACATCAGTGTAACACTATTCATTAACTCAGACAGCTAACAACTGGACAATCTATTTGGTCCTAAGGCTAAAATAAAATATGTGTTTCAAGGGCCCCCCTTCTACGAAGCCATCTCAGAACAACGACTGTCCTTAGTCCATGTTACAGTGTAGGAGTTGCGATGACACTAGGGCTACGACTATCCAAAGTCAATGTTACAGTGTAGGAGTTGCGATGACCCTAGCGCTACGACTATCCAAAGTCAATGTTACAGTGTAGGAGTTGCGATGACCCTAGCGCTACGACTATCCAAAGTCAATGTTACAGTGTAGGAGTTGCGATGACCCTAGAGCTACGACTATCCTTAGTCCATGTTACAGTGCAGGAGTTGCGATGACCCTAGAGCTACGACTATCCTTAGTCCATGTTACAGTGTAGGAGTTGCGATGACACTAGGGCTACGACTGTCCTTAGTCCATGTTACAGTGTAGGAGTTGCGATGACCCTAGAGCTATGACTGTCCTTAGTCCATGTTACAGTGTAGGAGTTGCGATGACCCTAGAGCTATGACTGTCCTTAGTCCATGTTACAGTGTAGGAGTTGCGATGACCCTAGAGCTACGACTATCCTTAGTCCATGTTACAGTGTAGGAGTTGCGATGACCCTAGAGCTACGACTATCCTTAGTCCATGTTACAGTGCAGGAGTTGCGATGACCCTAGAGCTACGACTGTCCTTAGTCCATGTTACAGTGTAGGAGTTGCGATGACCCTAGAGCTATGACTGTCCTTAGTCCATGTTACAGTGTAGGAGTTGCGATGACCCTAGAGCTACGACTATCCTTAGTCCATGTTACAGTGTAGGAGTTGCGATGACCCTAGAGCTACAACTATCCCATGTTATTGTTACAGTAAAGGAGTAACAATGGTCTAAGTCAACGTCAGAGCATAGTACTTACGATGACCCTAGAGCTATGACTGTCCAAAGTCAATGTTACAGTAAAGGAGTTACCATCATCTTTGACTATAATTGTCGAAAACACATACTGCAGTATGGTATGGGAGTTACAATCACCCTTGGGCTTGAACTGTCGTAAGTAAATATTGACAAATACTGACAAAACCTTCATAAATCTTAGTACTAAGATCACTTTGTGAAAAGAGTCCTGGTAACCTACAACAGCTATAGATTATTGGTAAGCCAAACAAATATTATACAGATTATTGGTAAGCCAAACAAATATTGATAATAATGTATTAAAAATATACATTATTATCAGTTGTCATGACATGGTGACAGATGTTTTTGAATTCAGGTCTCAAGTGAGAAGATGGTTGGGGCTGTTATCAGAAACAAATATTATTATTTTTGCCTAAAGAGGTCATCCACCTGACAACAGTCATTAACTGTGAGGGGCGGTCGGGTAGCCTAGTGGTTAAAGCGTTCGCTCGTCACGACGAAGATCCAGGTTCGATTCCCAACATGGGTACAATGTGTGAAGCCCATTTCTGGTGTCACCCGCCGTGATATTGCCGGAATATTGCTAAAAGCGGCGTAAAACCATACTCACTCACTGACTCATTAACTGTGCCAGTCAACAGCTGAATAAATGCCTGGTCCATAAACCCTCGATGATGCTGACAATGGGCGGAGGTTGACTCTCACCTATCTGATCACTGCAATAGTCTGGCAGTCATGTGACACGGTGTCCATTACCCTGGCACTTAGTTCTTGAAATGTAACTGATAGGTGCTCTCAATCACTGCCATAGGAGCACAGGACTGTCTTCAGGACAACGCCAATATGAAGTGAGTGAATGAGTGAGTGAGTGAGTGAGTGAGTGAGTGAGTGAGTGAGGGGGTTGGGGGGTCGGTGGGTGAGTGAGTGAGTGAGTGAGTGAGTGAGCAGGTGGGGGGGGTCGGTGGGTGAGTGAGTGAGTGAGTGAGTGAGTGAGTGAGTCATTTCATGCCACTTTTAGCAATAGTACCACAGCCAGGCACCCCAAATATGGGCTTCACATAAGTTACTCATTTTGGGAATCAAACCCACAGCATGATAAGCAAACGCTTTAACCACTGGCCTACTCAACACTGAATGTGACAATTAAACATGCATAGAGGTTGATACATAACTTCTAGCTCTGCAGAAGCCATACCAAGCAATACATGAAGAAACCAAATACATTATTCATATTTAGAAAGTAGGGCCACCATAATTTGTGTGTTGATTCTGACATAATGATTCTATCTCACGGTCTGACCAATGGCTGCATACATATCTGAAGATGCCTGTGTTTCTGACCACTAATCCAGATTTATGACACTGCTAGCCAAAATCAATGGACACAAACAACCTATTGGCAGGC